CTGAGTTCAATTTCTTATACTGATAAATCGAATGATGATGACCAGAAAAAGGCTGAAATTCCTTTTTAAGGAGACAAATATATATATATATTGAAGATCATATCTATACTCTTGATTTGAGTGCATTTTTGCTCATTACATTTAAGTGGTAGTATTGTTCACAACTTTATTTATTATTATAATTTCTATTCATTAATTACACAAATTTTAAAATTTAAAATTATACAACAATAATAAATAAATAGTATAGCGAGTAACGTCATTAAGTGAGGTCGGTAAGAAAAAAAATATTCCGTTTCCATTTGTAACCGAAATAGTGAATGGGAACCCACTAAATAGTGTCTGCCAAAAGCACAGCAAGCACACAAAGGTACATAAAGCTATAATGATTGCCTTCCTAAAGAGAGACGAGAGAGTAGAGAATAGGAAACTTGCAAGACATGCAATGTCACTAAATAGTGTCTGTTCATCATTACAGCAGTGAAAGTTTGATCCTCTACATTGTACAAGATACCATCGCAATGACAACAATGCCAACCTTTTCTTCTTTTTCTCTTTTTTCTTTTTCATGTAAAGCCATTTACCTACTATCAATATCATGTTGCATTAGTTTAGGTGATCTCCAACAGATAAAATTAAATATAATTTTGTTCAGAATTATAATCTTGAAAAAAAATGTTTTTAATGAACATCTGCAGATCATACTCATATATTATCTTCAATTGAAAGAACTAAACATTACCCACTTAAGAATTTATTAGTTTTAAATTTATAATTTAGATTTATTAGTTTTTGAACTTTTATTCATCTTCATTGGAGATGACTTTAACAACGTAAAGTGAAAGACTTAAAACATAGAACCCAGAATTTATGCTGCCTAATCTTTATCGATGATGGGGGTCATCTTGAATTCATATTTAACCACACACTTTGTTGAAAAGTTGGTAAAGCATTGGTTTCTCGAGCCATGGAAGCAGTTCATTTCAGAAAATAATTTATGCAGATTTCTAGTAGAAAATAAATTGGTATTGTATAATAGGTGTACTACTCACACACAATTTTTCACTTCATACATACTCTTTGAATTTGTGATAGTTGAATTGACTAAATTAAAGAAGATATAGAAATTAACAAAAGGTGTGTGAGAAGTAAAAATGAGTATGCGGATAGCACACCCATTGTATAAAAATTTAGGGAAAAAAATGCATGATAATCATTTTCCTAAATGCAAAAACATACTACTAGCAATGTTAGTGAGAAGAATATCAGTAAATTTACATTTTTTTTATTCACACATATTTGTTTACTCCTTTAAACTTGATATCTTAATTAATTAACTTGTTATGATTTTCTTTAGGCGTATATAGGATGAGAGTTTTATGTCCACAAAACATAAGCTGGTAAGTTACGTGTCATTATATAAGTAGAAAGAAGATATATTTTCATTGTCTTTCTATTTGTATTATAACATGTAATGTACCACTTTGTGTTTCGAATACACTAAAAAAATCTCCCAATGAAGGCAACAAATGGATCACATTCCTGAATCCCTAGGGTGAATCACATGATGGACCATATTTGTATCAATTGAACAACGTAGAAGCTATGTGCTTAATTAATACTTGGGGTTCACCATCCTCATTTCAAATCATATATGATCTACAAATCCCAACAAACACTCCCTTCTATGATTTTGCTTAGATTTACCAAGTCTCCGTAGCCTCTTCCCAAATTGTGCACAATTAACCACAATGCGAATATTAATGCCATCAATTTACATAGCACAATCGTATAAAAAGGAAGAAGTTCGACTCGTAACTTACTCGATTTACTTGCTAGTTACGAGATGCATCAATTGACACACCGTGACCTAGATCGAGGCATGTTGGCCGTCACATGAGGGTGACGTAGCCATATGCACAGTGCGGAAGCAATATTAATACATGAATGCGAATAAACAAAAACCAAAACAACTAGAGCACTAGATAAGATAAGGTGCAAGACGAGAATAAGTGTGACTACACTTATTCAGAGCGTAGGTAGCCAAAGTGCAATCTGGCAGGACGAATACTAATTGTACAATACCAAAGATGGTCCTACATTTGTCATTATCTGTCAGAACCACCGTCAATTCCTCGTGAGCCACCAACAAGCACTTCTACCTAAAACCTGGAGGGGTACAAAACAGAAAGTGTGAGTGGGCAAAAACAAAGCTTTTCAAAACCATTTCATTTATCATAACTAGTAACCCATCGCCGTAAAACCTGTATAATTCCCAGAAAATAGCATATACGATTATATACAAAAATCATATTCAAAATAGCAAATCCACCAAATATACCATGTCAAATCTCAGAAAGAAATAAGCAAGCCAGGTGAAATCAATCAATATGAAATAGTATGCAAGCCGGAGTCACATAACGTGACCTGTACGGCTGGATATATAACTCATCAACTAGTTCTCTACACACAAGTTGGAACCACCTAAAGTGGTCTGTATGACAGGTTAGGTGTAAATAAATACACTCAAATGCTACAGTCACATGAAGGTTGTGCAAAGTATCGCAAGTCACCTACGAGTCGGAACCACCTAAAGTGGTCTGTACGACAGGCAGGCACTTGCCTTGGATCCAAGGTGAGCGTGTGGTGCGGGTGGTGAATGATCACGTGAAGGCTAGGCCCTATCCTTGGGCGGAGCACTAACACCGGGGTGCAGGATAATAAGCTCGAAATATACCTCAGAACTAATGTACTCACTACCATCACTACCATCAATATACTCACCTGAAGCTTATCTAAACGTCTACAGTGTCGAGCAACAATATGTATGTAACCATAATAATGCACAATTAAACATAAGGAGTATTTGACATGGCATTTCAAAATATCAAACCATTTAATTAAGTTTTTTGGGAAAAATACCAAGTATATATATATACTAAAAACCAAAAGCCCACTCACTGATATGTGGAAGGGTCGTAACCCCCGAGCCTTGCTTGACTGGGCTTGTATATGCGAAACAACTATTTAAATGTTATTTTTTAAGCACATAAACAAAACGAGGTAATAACTTCTCATACATTGCCCAAATGGGGTATTTGAATATATCACCGTGACCTACTCAACCCCACAAACATCCCTATATTTTTAGAAAAAAAATTCAATGTCCCACGAACCCTCACGTGCCTGCCAAGGCACGGCCAGATGAGCCGCCGAGGCGCAGGCATGTGCCTGGCACATTGACGAATTCCCTAACGTCGTTAGGGAATATTCCGTTAAATATTAGAATATACCATTAAAGATACCTGATGCCGTTAGAATATTCTGTCAACTTTGACGGAATATCCCCTCCTTCTTCCTTGGTTTGCCGGAGTCCGGCACCTGCCACCGCTGTTATTGCCTGATTCTGGAAAAACTTTAAACTTCAATATCTTTTTCATTTCTACACCAAATTTCACAAATTTTATACCAAAATGAAGCCCTCAACAAGTAGAACATGATTGTACCTTTCAAATGTCCTAAAATCAACAAAAACTTGCCGGCAAAATCTCATGAAAATCGGCCAAACCTGCAACTCGATAAACCCAAGTGTTCTAACATTAAAACCACTCCAAAATCGATTCAATGTGCTAGTAAAGTAAAAATATTACCTTCTTAAGTCTCAAAACCACTTAAAACCTTTGTGATCACATCAGAGGAAAAATCACCCCTCACCGGAGTTCGGGTAACTCACATTCTACAAGTTCTCACGACCAACTAAGGGTATGGATGAGTTTTTGAGCTCGCAAGGAGTACGAAAGTCACCTTCATAGCCTCAATCCATGACTGGTGAAGCTCGTTGAGAGGTTGACCGTACACTTGTACGGAAAATGGGAAAAAATCCGAGAGGGAGAGAAACAGAGAGGGTTAACGGGTTAGTGTGGGTGTGTGTGTGGGGTCCAACTTGGGTCACCAACCAAAAACAAGGAAAATCTAAGTCCTAATTAAATCCAAATGATTAGGACTTAAAATGATTGGTCCAATTCCATAGCCCATTTACACACACACAACTCAACGCTCAAGGGTAAAATTGTCCTTTTCACACTATCGAGGACAAACTAATTTATACATTCGAGACGAGCTGTGACAGTAATCATATAATACATTTTGGATTTGAATTGAAAACACACATCAAGCATTAGATAATAAAGATTCGACTGAAATTTTGCCACGTAACTGTTATGCGATAAATGATTTTTTTTAAGAGAGAAACCAAACACAAATGTAATTGACAGTCAATAACATTGAATCTACATGATTTAGTGAAATCTTTTTGTTTTATAGTGACAAAAAATGAAGAAAATAATGGATGCAACCAAAGAGTCAACTCTCCAACTTCTCCACCTGATCCAAAGTCCAAACACCACGATTGGTCCGTCGTTGACCAAACAACCCGCCAAGTTATGCTATTCACTGTCCCGTTTGTTACTCTGAAAAGTCAGCATAACTAGGAGATCTAGGAAGGAGCATGAAAAATAAACATTTTATTATAACAAAATAAAACCCAGAAAACTGTAGCAATAATCATTTTCGTTAACTCTATTAGAATTCTGTCAAAATGACTCATATTGGAATGACAATTGCTACAATTGAATTAAAGTTGAGGGATCATTGTTCCAATTGCATTAAAATTGAGAGAACATTTCTCTAATTGGGTTAAAGTTGATGGATTATTGCTATAATTTTTTCATTTGGTTTTTTATATTTGCCCCTTGATTCAGCATCACATAAGTGACACGTAACTCATTTTGATAGAAGTTTTAATAGAATTAACGAAAATGACCATAGCTACACGCTTTAATAAGTTAAGATATCAGTGATCATAAATTTTTAGTTAAGAATTATTGTTTTAATTGAAGTTGATGAACTATTTCTACAGTTTCATTTGAAAATTGATCGACATTGAAATTAAACAGAAAAATTAACAAAATATGGAATGATAATAAATAATAAAAAAGGAGTCGAGCACCAAACCACAGCACGCCCGCACATACCTTTCTTCCAAGACATTCAAAGCACTTCCACGCCACAGCACGCTCTCACTCTCTCTGAATTATTTGCTTCCAGAATATTGAAACTTTCGATTCAATTTTATCTGAAATCAAGCAACCAACAAACAGAGAGAAGAGAAAAAATGTCTGAAATGGACGACGGCACGTCGAAGCCTCCACAAATCTCCGAAATGTTTCAGAAATTCGCTCTGGCTTTCAAGACCAAGACGTTCGAGTTCTTCGCCGAGGAGGAAGCCGACGACGCCGACAGCTTCGCGCTGCTCGACTCTGCCGAAGAGGTCATCACGGACCAGAAGGTCGTCGTTATTAAACCGGACACGGCGGCGGCGAACTGCAACGCTCCGGAGATAGAGGTGACGCCGGAAAAGCAGATTTCGAGCGAGACCCAGCTGAAAAAATCGGAGGTTTTGGCGGTTTCGAAGCCTTTGAGCCGGACCCGGATACGACCCATGAATACCCAGATGACCCAAACTCTGATTTCGTCCATTTTTGCCACTGTTTCGTCGTTTGAAGCTTCTTACCTGCAATTGCAGACTGCCCATGTGCCCTTTGTGGAAGAAAATGTGACCGCGGCTGATCGAGCTCTCGTCTCTCACCTCCAGAGGCTCTCGGAATTCAAGCAGTTTTACAGAGATTTTTGTACGAGTTGGGATTCGAGTTCTAATTTGCCAATCGGGTCCTGCTTGGAAGCTCAGGTGCAGGAGAATCAGAGCAAGCTCAGGACTTTGGGAACAATGTCGAACAGCTTGCAGACAGAGATAGATCAAAGGGACAATGAAGTTACGGGCCTGCGGAAAAAATTGGGTGAGATTCAAAAGTCTAATGTGAATTTGTCTAAGAGGTTATCCGCTACTTTGAATTCGTCTTGTGAAGTTTTGTTGTCAGTTAGAGTTTTCGATTCATTTTTGCATGATGCTTGTAGATTAACACGCAGATTGACTAAGATTTTGATAACTTTGATGGAGAAAGCTGAGTGGGATTTAGATTTGGCTGCTAATTTGGTTCATCCGGATGTTGATTATGTTAAAAGAGCGCATAATCGGTACACTTTCTTGTCATATGTTTATTTGGGAATGTTCAAAGGTTTCGATTCGAAAGGCTTTGGTTTGGATGAGGAAGAAGTTTCGTGTAATGGGCACGGTCCGGATGTGGATAAGAAAAATGCTTCTCTCAAGCAGTTGCTTGAGCATGCGTCGAGCAATCCAATGGAGTTGTTAAGTAGGAATCAAAATTGTGAGTTTTCCAGATTTTGTGAGAGCAAGTATCAAGAGATCATCCACCCCACTATGGAATCTTCAATCTTTAGTAATCTGGATCAAAACCAAGTTGTGTTGAGTTCATGGAGGTCTCTGAGTGTATTCTATGAATCATTCATTAGCATGGCGAGTTCCATATGGATGCTCCAAAAGTTGGCATATTCTTTTGATCCGGCAGTTGAGATATTCCAAGTGGAAAGAGGTGTAGATTTTTCGATGGTTTATATGGAAGATGTCACTAGGAGATTGTTGTTACCAGGTAAAGCCAGGACGAAAGTTGGGTTTACAGTGGTTCCGGGTTTTAAGATTGGGAGGACAGTAATTCAATCCCAGGTATATTTAACTGGGTTAAAATGTACAGAGTAGTCGCAAGTCAAGCTCTGCTGTTTATGATAATGATATAGGCAAGACAGGAGGTGACCAGGATTAGTGTGTTGATCTTACGTGCTTGGATTGTCGGATGGAATTCGAAATATGTATGTTGGAGGTAAATTGAAGGATGTATCGGTTACTATGGTCAAGACGGAAACCCGGTAATATGCATACGATGAAGATGCTGTTGCCTTACATGATACTGAACCTCTTTCCACAGATACATGTTACCTGGTTTGTGACTTTGATTTTTCTTTGTATATGGTTTTCGACGTAGAATCGACTGTATAGAACCTTTATCTCTCTTTTTTCGTTAATTCCGACACAAATACACTGGCAAGTTGTGAATCCAAATTCCTAATTAGTTCTGTTATTATTGGAAAAAATAAAAAAATAAAAAAAAATTCCGGACAATTCAAGTACAATGTTATCTCACAAATACATTAACTTGTTCCCTGAGACTGAGAGTAATGTCATTTAGGTATACTTTTGCAATGTAAATGTAAGGATAATTGTGCTTATGTTTTTCTTGTGCATTGTCTAATGAATGTTGTGTATCCACCCTAAGCCGTAGGAGAGAAACTCACCTGACGCGGTTTCATTACCCCCTTTCTCTCTGCCTATCTCATCATGTGTTACTTGGTTTCTTTGCACTTTTCTCTCTGCCTACCTCATGCAAGCGTGGTAGGACAAAGAGCAAGGGGCAATGAAACCGTGACATGCAAGTCTTTTGATTGCTTATGAACTCTTAGTCATGGCTTAGAAAGTTGTTACCTAGACACACAATGTCCACTGGACTATTGGATAAGGATTCTTTGGATCAGAAAGCTCCAAAATTATGTATTTCTATAGATTTTGAAATCAAATGCAAATTCCCTAGTGCCCACGACACGGTATCTTTTCAAGTCAATCGTTAGTAAGGAGTCACTATCATCTATATAGTCTTTCAAACATGAGGGAATTATCAGTATTTTTATTGCTCCAAGTAAAGGGTACTCCAGAAGCATTTAAGGAAACAATACTCTCCCTATTCTAGAAATTAACAAATGATTTGCAGCATATACATAAACCATTGCCCTTCCATCAGGGTAACAGCTAAAACATTGTTCAAAAATATTTTTCACAAAGCTTTCCTGGGACCTTATCCAAAGCAACCTCAGTTTGCACTAAACAAAAAAAAAAAAAAAGGTCCAATTTTCCGAAGCTACATGGATAATTAAAATTACTCCTAAAATATGACCTAACAGTCCTCTTACAATTCCACACAATACACTTCATTAATCTAGTTCTTCCAGGTACTAGGACCAGCCTCTTTGCAGCATCCTCCTCACGGACCCTCTTCCTTGGACTCATAGTTCCTACTTTTGGCCTTGCGCTCGCAAAACCGCTTCTGCAGCCAGCAAAGCATCAACCACATTACCAGACTTTCCCCTAGCCTTCATGTCATCTCTTCTCACACCCTCCATGACAACATCCTGGTGAAACAGTCATTCACACAACACATTATATCCAAATCAAAACCCCTAACTTGTTTAGTATCTCAAACACTAGAGTAGTTAAGGCATCAGACACACTACCACTGGGGTTTTTCCATCTACCATTATTGTTCTTTAAAATGAACAGCATTGACACTAGAGTACTTACTCCGGTTAAGTTGTCACTAGCAATACTTACCTCTTGATCCTGCGGCCGTCTTCCCAGGCCTTCCCCAGTATTGGACAAGATCAGCCCTAGCCGCCCCTTTGTGCTTAGGACACCCCACCACCTCCTTGTAAAGCATTCCGTCCCTCAGCTTCTCCCCACACACTGGCGCTTTTCAGCTTTTCTCTTCCACTTGGGGACCACCATGGTCTAGCCCTCCTCGTTAGAGCTTTCCTCCTCCATTCTTTGACCTGGTTCCTCACTTTCATTAAACTCATCCTCCACATTTTCAGCACTTGGGAAGCATAGAATCACATCCTTATGAAGATTAGCCTTAATATCCTCATCCACCATTATGTCTTTGATAGGAGCATATTTATACAACTTAGTTGGCTTGTTCTTGTGCATTTATGTTGTGTTTCCTTAGTTATTTTAATGTTTAAAGTCATTTTCGTGTGTTTTCAGATTTTATGGACAAAGTAGGCAAGAAGATGCATTTTGGAGCAAAATGGGGCTTGGAATGGATAGCAAATGCATGGGCCAAAGTGGATGGACGAATTTGAGAACTAAAGAGGCCAAGCATATGAAGAATTATGGTCCAAAAGATGAAGAAAACAGCCCAAAAATCTGTCACCCCAACTTGCATTCCTTGGCATGCAAACCACATAGAATTCCCTTTGGATTCCCATGCCATGCTTGATCACTCTTGTCCCCTACATAATTTCTGATTTCATGCTTCAATTCATTTAATTATTACACTCAATTGCTTGATACCTCTTGTTCTCTTCACTCATTAGATTTTAGACAACATTTACATCCATTACATGCACCAATTGATGCTCCATCATTCACATTTGGAATCCAATGCCATGTGCAACACATGTTGTTGCACCTTTGACCCATTTGTTGACACATTTCACCTCCCTTTCCATCTCTATGCAATGTACACAATCATTCATGCTCCCTAGCTACAACACCACTCCATTTTACCCTTCACACTTTGCATCATTACTTCATTTTCACCCTTGGACCATTGCACACCACACACACAAATTGCCATGCATTTCATCCTTAACCTAACCTGATTTTCTAAGGTTTTTGGGGCCTATAAGTACATGTTTACACCCCTTGGCCAAAGGACAATCCCCCATATTCATCATTTTATCACAAAAATTCGTCCATACACACCCTAGGAAGCAAAACACCCCAAAAACACCATTCTAGTGCCTAGAAAACATAACAACCACTCCACCTTCTTCCACCCTCTTTGCCTAGTTCTCCACCACCCTCCAACCATCAAACACTCCTCCACACTCACCCTAAACCCTTCCATACAATTCCCCATCCATTCTACATCATAAAACTACCCAAAATCTGTCCATAACCCAATCTGCCGCAAGCATAGGGAAAGGAGGAATCTTGGATGCACTTGCTACCAAGTTGGAGCATTTTAGGTGTTTTCTTTCCTTTGATTTTAATGTCTAATTTTATGTATCTTTGCTTTGTGAGTATATGAGGAACTAAACCCCTCTTAGTTAGGGGGTGATTCGAAACTATGTTCATACTTGCAATATGATTTGATTACATTCAGTTGTGATTCATAAGTTGTGAATTCAATTTACTTATCCGTTCATATAAAAACTAATTTGTGTATGTTGGTTAAGAGTGCACGCTTAATTTTCATGCATGAATTTGACGCTAGAATATAAGGGAGTTTCACCTAATCGTTATAAACTTATATTCACAAGTAGTGAAGGTTGCTAGTCACAATCACGTTAAGTAAATTCTTGGCATAAGTTTCATGCAAATCATAGTAACGAGTGCCTCGTCAATGCTTATGTTTTTCATAGAACTTAATGATTCTTGCTTGTATCTCTATTATGCAATTCATGTAGGGAACTTGTAGGGAATGTTTTGGGTTGTCGTATGCAATCATCCAACCTAATAACTTGTGGAAAAAACTGAGGGTTAATTAGTGCAATTCACGGTTAATTTGGGGCGTTGAGTATTCATAGTTTATCGAAAAGCAACTGGAAATCGTTTTGTATGCAAGTGTGACATATGTGGAGAAGAACCTCCTAGCTAATCTTCCATCCATAAGTTTCATTCAAATTCACTTACAATCTGTTTTGTTTTTACAAAGTTGTTTTGTTTTCAAATTCATTAAAACCAAAATCCCCCTTTTACTTTATTGTTTCAAAGTGTTTAATTTCTGTTTTGGTTGTGTGTTAGAGTGTTTTGATTCACCCAAATTTGTCTAAGAATTTGTTTACTTTGTTCTTGTCTTAATTTAATTATTTTCGTCGAAAATCAACCCCATCTTATTTCTTTGAGTCATATTAATTAGAACTTGTCTTAGATTATGTTTTTAAGTGTTTTAGTTCATTAGAAAACCAAAATTTGTCCAAGTTTGTGTGAGAGTCCCAAAATTGCCCAGATTGTGTTTTTAAGGTAGTTTTGAGTGTTTAGGGGCTGTTTTGAGTCTTTTGGTTTGTTTTAGTGTTTTAAAGTATAGTTTTGCATTCTTTGAGTCTAGTTAGTGTTTTAAACTTTGTTTTTACGTTTTCAAGTCAGTTTCTAAGTGATTTAGCAATCCCTCCTAATCCCCGGCCTAGAACGATCCCTACTTACATACTTTACTACAATTGATAAAAAGAGGGTTTAATTTGTGTGTTTAGTTATTTTCGCATCAGTCTTCAGGAAAGACAATAGGCTCATCCTCAAAAACTCTATCGATCATGATGCAACCATCATCTGCATCCACCTCAAGACAAACATGCCCCTCCAGCCTCCTCCTACCACAGTGAAAACACATTTTGAACAACTTTTCATAATTGACTAGGATATGGTTGTCTTCTTCATGGTTCACTGTCAGAACCCTCTTCAACAGGATCTAAGATCCACCTTAAGCAGTACATTCACAAACAATCCATTCAAACGAAGGGTAACTTCATCCACCCTGAGCACACGACCAATTGGTTGCGTGATATCTTTTATGATATTCTTCTCCTTTAATTGAACTAGCACCATTGGCCGTCTAGCCCATATAACCAGCTTGGTGATAACGTCAGTATCCTTGAAATTTGTAGTCCATTGTGAGACCATAATTTTTTAGGGCCGTAGTAAGGCTAATCGGAATACAATTATCTCAGAAGTCATGTCATAGACTCAATAGTTCCGAGTGGGCTAGATCAAACGGAGCAACGGTGCCACCATCACTCTATTCTAGGGCAATGGGCGAAGTTCGGGTGACTTCGTGAGGATGACCATGCTTGTTTTGCACCACACATGGTCTATTTGGTATGAAATAAGCCAGATCTTGATATGTCTTAGAGTTCCTACAATCTAAGAATTATCGTGCGCTACAACTTATCACAACTTCTAAAAGGGTGCAATATCTATTTCTAGATATTCTTTAGGATTCTCCCAGATTAAAAAAGGATTCTATCCTAAAAAAGTCTCTCTCCCAACTGGTATAAATACACCTGTCTATATTCCATCTCTAGTAACGCAATCTCTGCACTCTAATTCTCTTGCCCATTGCTTGAGTCTTATATTTGCTTATTAACTTGATTGTCGGAGAGCCTTTGGCTGGCACACCCCTAGTGTTAGGTTTGCTCACGGTTGTTTACTATTTTAAAGGTTACTCGGATTTGTGCCTTTACACTCAAGGCAGTGTGTGAATTTGGTTCCAACTTCCACCTTTCCAGATGAAAGATTTTCCCACGAACGTACCATGGCCTATTTTGCAGCACATACGAGAGATCATCCTCATAAACTCCAGCATGAACCATTTCTTTCCAAAGTGGTCCAAGTAGAATGTGTTTTTTACTTCATTTTCAGGGAATTTAAACGGATGAACATCATTCATTTTCAGGGACCACAAAGATTGATTTTCAAATTCAAGGACTATCTTGATGAACTAGGTTAATTTCAGGGACTATTTGAGATAAAAACCCTTCTATAACCCCCTATAAACATTAGATAATTTTTCATTGTTTTACATAATCATACATAGAGTGCACTAAATATTGGAGAGTCTCATTGTGTCCATATGAGAGAGTTTTCAACACAATCGTGGTTCATGGAGCCTTGTGATTTGGAGTGCTACTATTACAAGGATGGGGTCGTTGTATCTTGGGAGACAAGTGCCGATCAACCTTGAGCACCGTAGTGGGGTGTAAACTTGTCTTAAGGACTAAGTGTTCAACATTTGCCTTGACCAAATATTTAGGTTTTTCTAATCCATTATGTAAAGTTCATTTCAAGTTGGTAACCCATGTGCATGCATTACTTTGATATATAATTGTATGAATTATTTCTTGATTTTCTATGTGATTTAATATAGCAATTAGACCCTAATTTTTCCAACAACGTCCACCTTGTAATCTCTAAATAGTAGCAAATAACCATGCTCAGTCATCTGCCAACACTTAGCAAATTTTCAACAATTCCATGAACTAACATAACTTCCCTTATGTACCTTTTTCCTTTCATTGTTTCAATTACCAGTGAGCCTTTTCTAATGACCTCTACAAGTACTCCAGTGCCTACTTGCACTTTAGCTTTAATATTTCTGTTTATATCCACTAGCAAATCCTCTTTAGAGGTCAAACAATTGTTGCACCCACAATATATGTACCATACATCACTCTTATTCTTTGCAACAGTAGCATGACTTGCATAAAACAGGTTTCCTATCTCTTCTGCCTGATTAGAAAAATTCACTTGTTGCACAGACTTGTTGAGATTGCAGTCTTAGCAATATGGCCAAATTTACTGCACTTGTGACATTTGGGCTTTTCCCTTGTTCCAGCACTTTCCATAGTATAGCTTATCACAACTTTTACAAGGCATCTTAGCAACATTGTTACCTTGCCATTGCTTCACAGGAGCATTGGTCTTGTTAGGCCATTGCGTCCCCTTGGTTTTAGAATTCTTCAGAAACTTTGCATTACTAGCTTGACCACTAAACCTGCCAGTTTGCTTACATGTGATGTCCATGATAGAAAATGCCTTTTTTGTGTTATTCTCACTATGCCTACTAACCCTTGTTCATATCCTTTTAGTATAGCCACAACATCCCGTGCGTCATTGGTCTCCAAATCTTTGGTGTTTTCAATCACATAAGTTATGCTATCATAAGACATAGGCAAATTTATCAACAATTATTGCACAACTCATTGATGACTTATTTCTTCACCATTACCCTTCATTTGGTCAATCAAATCAAACAGTTTAACAAAGTACACATAAAGAGATTCATTCTTACCCGTACGTGTGTATTCAAATTCACGTCTCCAATGAATTCTTGCTTCAAGATGTCCTTGACTGACTTGGTAGTTTTCTGATTGGCAATTCTGGAAAACTTTATCTGAAACGGCTCCTTGAATGATACCAACTGCTCTTGCATCTTTGATAGTATTCTCTCGCATCAGCTTCTTCTCCTCAGCCGAGAGATTTCCTTCCTTCAATTTCAAAACCCTTTTCAACCAAATTCTAGAATTCATGAGACTTGAAGATGGTTTTTTACACGTCCCGACCCCCATATTCTCTGAATACCCGGATAGGCACGTGCTAGTCGATACCTGAAGGTGACGAAAACCATTTATTGAATACAAGAGTAATGATTAGGAGAAAATGAACATGAATAATCATTAGAATCTAAAGGTAATAAACAAAGTTTAAGGAATTGTCTAGAGTGCACAGAATACATTCTAATTCAAGATCACAAAAGGAAAGATCATTACAAGATATCACCCAAATGAGTGATAGACTGCTACTGGTAGGCGAATGCCTCGTACGTTGTGTCGTAGTCCTCATTTCTAAGACCTGAATGGGGTGCAAAACAAAGGTGAGTGGACCAAGTTCATATATATAATAATAATAAAACAGTTATCAAGATACTAACCCCCACAGTTTATATAAAGAAAACTACTAGCATAATAAGTGATAGGTTTACTGAAAATCCTAGCATGCCGAAAACATCTCAAAAGACATATTGCGGAAATCAAAATATCAATCGTCTCACAGATTGCCTCGTAAGCGGTGTGTTTCCAGTAAGATCACTAAATAAATATAACTTCCGACCCTATGCCAGCACCGTGGTCTCTGCGCCCGTAGCCAGAGAGTACAAACTCCCAGCCCAATGCCTGCTCCGTGTCCCTCAACCCATAGCTAGGGATTATTTCTCCCGGCCTAACTACCAACACCAGATCCTCACCCCAGGCGGCATAGTGTCCACTAGGTACACACAAATAATTATGCCTCTCAAATATAACCACTTCATAGTATAAAGTCATTCATCGTGTATACTATAAAGAGGGGTTTTGAAAATATGTTCTAGCATCCTATCGTCATCCATCAAATAGTCTACCAGTTCATGGTTTTTATAGAAAATACGATATATTAAAATATAGCTCAATATAGGCCATCAATTAATTCCTTACAAAATAACGAGACGATAATCAACATTTCAATAAACATGCTTAACATAAAATCAGTTCATAAACTCGTAAGGCATGCATTTCATTTATGCAAATAAACTATAAAATTATGCAAATTTTAGAAGGGGTCCACTCACAGATACTCCGTAGCAGCAGAGTTGTGCGGAAAAGGATTAAGGAAATCCCCACTAGCAACTTCACCTAAGCACAAAAATGTACAATTTATCAAACTACCCAACTATAGAATTCCAGGAAATGGAAATGGGTCTTGGGTTTGGATCCGGATTAGGGTTTAGGTTTAGGTTAAATAGGATTAGGACCTATTGGTTTTTGGGTTTGGGTAGTTTAGGAACAAATGGGTGGTTTGGGCTTGAGCCCAAACCCACACAACACACATACACACATACACACATGCCAGCACACACACATGCATGCACAACACACACACACACACACACACACGGCGCAACACACACACACACACACACCCACGTGCACCACACACACTCACACACGAGCACCACACCCACTCACACACGCTTACACACACACACACACACACACTCACACACATGCACCACACACACTCACACACGCTTACACACACACACACACATACACACTCACACGGACACACACACACACACCATACACATACAGTACACGCACACACCCACACACACACACCACACAACACTCAGCCTATGCAAGGCACGGCCCGTAGGCCAAATAACCAAAAAAGAAAGCTAGGCTGGTCCAAATACGGGCAAAGGCCCGTGGGTGTTTTGAATGGCCTGGATGGCCTGCATAGTGCTCGGGGAAGAACACTGGAGCTACTACAGCTTCGGCCGACGGCGAACAAGTAAACCAACATCCAAACCATGTACCAAAATGAAGAGGGAAGAGAGTGGAGTATTTTCATACCCTTGCTTCACCGTGAACGGCCGTGAGTGTTCGGAAGAACCCTTGAAGGTCACGGGTTCGCCGAAAAGTGTGGGTGAGCCTCCCCCGCGCCGTTCCCATCCTCAAAACCTTGGAAGAACAATGTAGATTTCAACACACAACGCCCAACAACATCAATGGCGATTTCAAAAGGAATTTAAACTTACCTAGCCGGAAAAATAAATGGAGAAAACCGTCGAAGGTCTTTTCTCTGGATTTCCCGATCTCGCTGCGACGAAGAGAGAGAGAGAGAGAGAGAGAGAGAGAGATGATGACGATGATGGTCTACAACAGGAGCCACATGCAGGTTTGTTTGGTTGGTCACGGTGCAGAGAGAGAAAGGGAGAGATGAGAGTTCTTGTGAGAGAGAGATATTTCAGAAAATGGAGAGGCAGAGCTCCTGAAGAGAAGAAAGCTAGGAAGCTGCCACTTGGCAGTTTAGGAGGAATAAGGTATCTAGATCGACAATTAGGATTAAATGAGATAAGGGACTAAATTGATAGACTTAGATATGTTTCAGGGAGGAATATAGAAATATAAATAAAAATGTGGGGGTGGGTATAACAGTTTTCATCTTGATCTTACAGAAATCAAAGTTATCTCCATTAAAAATTGGTAGCTCGTAGCTCACTCCCTCCAGATCCAGCCATGCTAGATTTGAATCTCGTCGAATCAAAGCTCGAAGCAACCAAACAATTGCTTCAAAATCAGCTCACAATTTCACATTCAGCTTGATGCCCGGATTTCAAATCGAAACCGGCTCGGCCATACTAGAATTCAACTTCTCATACACCAAAACAAGATTAAATTACCAGCAATGGTTTTGGATTGTATATGAGCAAAAGAGTGAGATGGAAGCATGAGAAAGAACATGCAGAGAATATGACTCTGCTAGATTTCCATTACATTCATACTGAGCATATGAGCTCACAGTACAAGACAAGATGACAGTTAGAGAAGAGAGAGAGGCTTACAATTTTGATTCAATCTCAGCCCTTTATTCTACTTAGCCTATGAGCTAATGATAACATTATAAGGCCCATAAGCCACACTAATGAACTCTCCAATAACATAATTACAAGTAGAAATTCAGTGTAGGATTTTTATTTCAACAGAAGAGTAGGGTTTTTCTAGGGTTTTTACTCTTGTAGGAGTCTCGGAGGAGAGCATGATTTTCCAGTGGAGAAGACTTTGAATTTCAGCTCTTTATATGTATAGGCATGCATGCTATACAGACTCTCTTATATTATTTATTTTGTATACACGCCCATTAACCTGTTTATATTGTAGTTAAATTATATGCTTAGGATTTTTACTGTGTTCCTCTCCCCACCCCCACACCGCGCTCCTATCTCTATTAAATCTCTTGCAACTGATAATCTGGATGGATCGAAGTGATACCGGCAATGAAGCTAATGTTAAGTCACCTTTTTCATAGCAAACTGTATTATTGTCTTCTGCATTGAAAACCCTTCGTGGAAGCCTTCTTCAATAGGGCTCGCCATGTCGGCAATTATGCCAAACAACAAAAAGTAAAAAAAAAAAACCTTCTCACCTTTTTTATTTAATTTTTAATTTTAAATAGGTTGTGTTATGTTTACATGACTGAGGTTGGCGCAAAAAAATTTTATGTTGCATGTAATTACTAAATTGTCCATTTTTTTACAGAGTTTTGATTGACAATGCGATTTCTGTTAATATGTAATTTAACTAATATTTTAACTTCAAAATGGACCTTAAATTTGGGATTTTTGGGCCTCGTTATCCGCCCATCTCTTACAAATTGGACCTAGTAAGTACAATTGGTGCTTATTTTCACCAGCTTCCGTGGTATTAATCCTCCATTCTATGTTATTTTTGCAAAGGATATCATGGTTTTCATGCGTGGAACTAAGAGCTCTTTGTGTAACATGGTGAATTTTGTTGACGAATACTGCTTCAATTCTAGACACCGCATAAGTAAATTGAAATCTTTCGTTTTCATCGGCAGATATGAGGCCAACCGAAGAGCTATTGTTCAAGGATTCTTTGTGTTGGCCGAGTATATCTAGGTTTCCTATTTTTTAAGGTCACCCGAAAAGGTTCCACTTCCAAGATATTGCAGATTTCGGGATCCACATCCAAGCTATTGCAGATAAGGTTTGTTGCAAGTTGTCAACTTAGAAAGGTTTCAATGCTTTCGCAATCAGGGAGGCTCCAACATTAATTCCGTGATCCAGAGGCTCTTGGTTTTTTGCATTGAAATTTATGCTTCGCCTCCCAATTTATTTCATGTGGTTCAAGGTTGCATTAGAAATTTCTTTTTGTCTGGCTATCCTTTTAAAAGGAGGCGCGTCTCTATTAGCTTGTAGTTCTTGTTGCAAGCCTAAAAGAGGAACGTGGCTTGTGGTGTAGTCTCTTCCTCTCTGGCTTTGATTGGTGGCTTGTGGTGTAGTCTCTTCTTCCTCTCTGGCTTTGATTGGTTATGTCACATGTTCTTTAACGATAATATTCAATTGCTAAAATCCACTAAGAAATCTTCAGTTTGAAGGGGTTCAATATGGTCCCTTTTCTACAGTTCTTTTCAGTGGAGTATAAGATCTCTTTTTTTTTTTCAGCATATAATTTAACTACAATATAAACAGGTTACCTATTGAACAATTTTGTGTGGTGCATGTGTGTGAGTGTATGTGGTGCACCGTGTGTGTGTGTGTGTGTGTGTGTGTGTAAGCGTGTGTGAGTGGGTGTGGTGCTCGTGTGTGAGTGTGTGTTGCGCCGTGTGTGTGTGTGTGTGAGTCTGAATCCCTATTGAACAAAAGTCCTATTTCTTCTTCAAATTGAATCAACATCATTGATCAAGCAATTAAACATTCCTACTGGCAAATAATTGACCCAAGAGTTGAGCAGATATATAGGGATTGGAAAAAGGGGACGCACCAAAAGTAAAGGTCAACACAACTCTGCGAATTAAACTATATATCTAATTTACCAGAAAACTTTGTAAAATTGACAGTGTACCTAATATAAGCACTTAATTTTTCTATTTAAAACAGTTTACCCATTCTTGATAAATAAAATATAGCTTAAGCTTAATTTATTAACAGCTTAATGCAGTTCAAAAGTATTTTCTATTGTGGCGAGAAGGAGAAGCTACAGCCACCCTCCTTTACTTTTTACTTTTTCCAGATGCATATGTATGTACAGTTTACCTGCACCCTCATACCATGTGTCTTGAGCTGTTATCTATCCTCCACTTGCAGCATTTTCGCTCTTCTGCACGGAAACCTTGATAGCAAACGATTTCATCTATTACCGGTTAATGGAGATGTCTTCTGCACAACTGGACTACAAAGAGGGAAAAAACCAGTATTAGGAAAACACATTATACTCAAAATCATCACACTAAAGATATTTTCAAACAAATCACAATCCATCACACAAAGTGCATCCAACTCCAAGGCAAGACTAAGCAAACACACAAACTGTATAAAAACCCAATAAAGGTAGAAGTGTAACAATATTGTTATGCATCTGGATTTACTCATAGATAACGAATATAAGAATTTGATGATCTAGTTACTGCTCCAAGGAAAAATGAAATAAAATTCAATGGTTAAAATTAATCCTTATGTAAATGTATTCCCCACATCCATATCATTCAAGTACAATGAAATTCAATCGTTTCAACCAAAAAAAAAAAAATCCTGATTGACTTGAGTTCAGGACATTCAAGTATAACATAATTGAAATATGTGCAAGAGATTCCTTGAAAACATAACATACAAACAAAACTTAATTGAAAGTAGAAAGAAAAACTTGGACATGAGAACCGAAACTAATATTTGTAAAGGGTATAGTATACTCTCATTATCATACTTTCTTTCTCTCGCTGTAAAACTGAAAGAGCAACACAGAAGGAAGATAAAACCAAATCCCATATAAATTAAGATGCTATCCAACGTCCCTAGTCCTTAGCCCCAAACCCAATAGCCCAAAATCCCGATAGCACAAAAAATTATTACCTCCTTAAAAACATGTTCTTTCAAAAAGTTACATGGTGTCGGACATTAGGTACTTCAGGGTCATCTGCAAACCAAAATTCATCATTAACATCAACATAGTTCTGAATCATAAAGAATTAGGAATCAAATTATTTTTGGAATATATATGCTATAACCAAAAAAAGCAAACTTTCATAGCCACAACTGCTTGCATTCAGCACAATCGGCAAACCCATTAATCCAAAATCCATAAATAATCTAAATACTAATTGTTGATGCACAAAATCAGCGAAGACTTTGGTACAACAGAAAGTGTCAGGTTTTGTGACCTTCGCTTGGTTGCTTCGGTCACTAGTGAGGATAAGTACGTAAATGAATAGAGACAGAGAAGCAAACACAGGATGTACGTGGTTCACCCAGATTGGCTACATCCACGGAGTAGAGGAGTTCTTATTAGTAGTGAAGGGCTTACACAAGTACAAAGGATCAAGCTCTCAATTTAGTGAGTTCTTGTGAATGATTTAACACAAATGGCATTAGGCAATATTGTGGGGGAATGACCCCTATTTATAGAAAAACTTGTAGCTTTGTCACATTGACATGTGTCATGTTATGATTGGTTCTTGATGTCGACACGTGCCTGCGCTCTGATTGGCTTCTAATCTTGACACGTGTCGAGTAGTGATTGGCCTTCCTGGTCGGAGGGGAACTCTTCTGGGTCCTTGACAGTATAGCGTTGGCCGGTGCTCGGTAGTTCGGGATTGGTCAAGTATGGTACAAACAGTGCTCCCCTAAGTTCCCGAGTGAGGGAAACTCCTCGGTTGGGGACTTGCAAGATCCAATCCCTTAAGTAATCACGAAACTTCTAAGTACCGAAGTGTGGTCTGATCTTCATCTGCCCTTCTCTGGAAGTACCTTTCCTCCATCCGGGAATGGTGTATTTAGCTGATGTTGACGCACAAGGTAATGTATCAATTTCACTTGAAGCTTAGTTGTAGTTTCGGGCTTAGTCAAGTGTGATACAAACCCTATAGTAGGAGTCCCCCAAGTCGCCGAGCTAGGAGATCTGCCGAAAGAGGTGACAGACAAGGTAAGCAGTCAAACTTCCAAGTAAGCAACCCAGGATCAGAGGTTTGACTTCGGCTTCCGGTTGATTGTTTCCTTCTCCTTGTCTCTCATTCAACTGCCAGGATAAGGAGAAGCAAATGGATAAGAGATGATATGAGATACTTTT